TATTCATCAGTATTTTATTCCTTTTTATTGCTGTATAATATTCCATTGTGTGGATATACCACATTTTGTTTGTCTAAGAACATTTTACATTATCACACTTAATTACATTAGTAATCCTCCTTGCATCACCTAATGTCTAGGTTGTCTTCAGATTTCTCCAAGATCCAGTCCAGGGCTACACATTGAATATGTTTATGTTCTTCAGTCTCTTTTAATCTAGATCCACTGACTTACCAAAGAGACTGTGATAGTTTTCCCAAAAAATACCCAATCTCCTGGATTTGTTTGATTGCTTCCTTGTGGTGTTATTTAGCTAGTCCCTCTATTCCCTGTATTTCCTGAAAAACTTAGATTCCAGTTAAACATTTTTGACTAGGATGCATCAGAAATAATATTGTACACTTCACATTGTATCTCATTTGGACGTACATAATATGTGTTTGTTCCACCAGTTACAATGCTAAGATTGATCAGTGGGTTAGGGTGGTGGCAGCCTGGTCCCTCTAATATAAAGTTAATATATTTTCAGTCTTTGCAACTAGAAAATCATTTTTTTGTGGTATTACTTTGGCACCATACAAATGCCCAAGTCTCCATCAATTCATTTTATGATCAAAACTCTGATCAGTAATCATTGGATGAACTAATAATTTCATGAGAGGTTGCAAATTGACAGTTTTCCTATTCTGTCATTCTATCTACACTTTTGGCATGTTTCTACAAAGAAGAGGTTTTCAGAGACTTCTGGGTAATATGGCACTATAGTCAGAAGCACCACGCCTTCCTTCCGCAGCAAAGGATCAGAAAAACTAAGTCAGAATCACACGTCAATCCTGAAACCCTAAGCATAAAGTGAAGAGATAAAGAACTCAGCCAGGCACTGAATGGAATAAGAAACTGACCGAGAACAGAGAACGAGGAGCGATACATTCAGAGGTCCCCTATCAGCTACCGCAGCACGGATCTGCCATCTTGGCCTCCTATCAGAGATCAGCGAACAAGGGGTATGAGAAAGCAGCTTCATGGAGCTTCCAGCAGGAGACAGAACAACTGGTAACCAGCGATATAGGCTTTCCCACCCCGCACCCTTCTTCACCCCCAGTTAGCCTCCTCTGCTTCCTGCAGCCACAGTCTCTTGGATCGGAAGCACCCTGGTGTTGCTTGGATTCCACCCATCTGCACTGGCCAGCTCCCTGAGTGCCTTTTCTTGGCTGCTGGTGTTGCTTTTCTCTGCTTCTTTAGATTTCTTCCTTATCTCTCACCACCTCCCCCTCCTTTTTCTCAAATACCTGGCTACATGTGCCATCTTTGCTTCTTCCTGAAAGGCTGTGAAACACCAACTGACTGTGAAACTGCTTCCCGGCCCATGCTGCCACACTGGTAGGACCCCCAGGGCTTTTTTGTTTGTTTGTTTGTTTGCTTTGATTTGTTCTGTTTTGATTTGTTTGTTTTCTTTTTCTTTTCTTGTCTTGGGAGCCCCTTCTAGCCGGGCAGTACTGCGCGGCTTGTAAGCTACTCCCTTACTCTGCACAGACGCACAGGGGCATCCCTGGGGGCATTTTTTTTCTCTTTTTTTTTGTTTCTTTGTTTTGTTTTCCTCTCTCTCTCTGATTTTCTTTTTGTCTTTCTTCATTTCCAGTTTCTCAATTTATTCACTTTTTATTTTACCCTTTTTCTTTTTTGTTTTTCCTCATTTCTCAGTCTCTCATCTCTCCACTCCAATAGCAAACTCCCTTAGCATTCTTTTTTGTTTGTGTGTGTTTTTGGCTCCTGTTCCTCTCTCCTCTCTCTCGTCTTTCCCATACCCATCTTAGCTCCACACATCGCAGTCTACCCCCTCCTTCATGCCTACCTGCACCATGTGCTGAACATCACACTCCCAAGCAGCACAGGCACAGCCTACTGGAACCTGTCCTGCACTGATTCCTGGTCCACACTGTCAGCCCTATTATGTGCCACAAAAAACGCATCCGAGCAATTCCCCTTCAGCTGGACCTGCCCTGCTGTACCATACCTGAGTGACTGACCCTGCCCATTGGAGAAGGAGGTGAAGAGTATCGTGCCCACAGACGAGCAAACAACAAAGAACTCACAGCCCGCCTGCTCAGACATAACCAAATAAAACAAAAAAAAGGATGAAACAAACAAATCTACAATCAATAAACAAGGAAAATAATGGCTGAATGCCCCAAAGACTGCATAATATCAAAATATTTACAAAAACAGGACAGGATGGTTCCAGTAGGCATCCAAAATAAAACACCAGATGACTTTCCAGTAGAAGAAAAGGCACTAGACCTAACTGATAGAGAACTTAAATCCCTAATATTCAGAAATATCCAAGAGTTTAAGCAAAAAGCAGACCAAAATGAGGAAAAAATAGACAAATTCATGGAAAATACAGACAAAAAGTGGAAGAATTCAAGAAATAATACAGGAACAAAATGCTGAAATAAATTCACAACTAGAAACCATACAAAAACAACAATTAGAAATCCAAAAGATAAACAACAAGATTTCAGAAATGGACTGTCAGAGAAGGGCTGAGGAGCAGGTTTGAAATGATAGAAGATAGGATCAGCGAAATTGAAGACAAACACTTGGATACAACTGTTTGAGGAAAAATCAGAAAAAAGAACGAAGAAAAATGAAGAGACCCTGAGAATTATGTCGGATACAATCAAAAACAAAAATTTTTGAGTGATTGGAGTTCCAGAACAGGGGGAGAAAACAGAAAACACAGAGAGGATCATTGAAGAACTGCTCACAGAAAACTTCCCCAGTATGAAAGATGAAAAGCTGACCATCCAAGGAGCTCAGTGAACCCCATATAGGATAGACCCCAGAAGAAAATCACCAAGGCATATCATAATCACACTCCCTAAAACCAAAGACAAACAAAGAATCCTGAGAGAAGCTCAAGAAAAACAAAAAGTCACATACAGAGGAGAAACAGTAAGACTAAGCTTGGATTATTTGGCAGAAACCATGCAGGCAAGAAGGCGATGGAATGGCATATATAAAACCTTGAAAGAAAAAAATTGCCAGCCAAAAATAATACATCCTGCAAAACTCTCATTCAAATATGATGGTGAAATTAGGTCATTTCCAGATAAACAGAAATTAACGGACTATGTAAAAACCAAACCAAACTTACGAGACTTATTAAAGGGAGTCCTTTGATCTGAGAACTAACGTCATCAGACCACAGGCTGAATATAGGACGCAGGATTGTACTAGCCAGATACCAACCTAGGAAATGAACTCTTAAGGACTATGCAAAACCAAAAGAATTACAACAGGGAACCAGAGAGGTTAATCTGTAAATGACAACAGCATCAGGGCAATGAAAGAGGGAATAAATGGTGTAAGTATAGAACCTTCTAATGGAGAGGAAGGCAAGGCAATACCAAGTAATAATAGACTGGTTCAAATCTAGGAAGATAAGGGTAAATTCCAAGGTAACCACAAAGAAAGTTAACAAACCTACTCATCAAAATGAAGAAAAACATAAAGTGTCAGTAAAAACAAAACCTACAAAAACAAAAGAAATTAAAAAAATCCACAAACAAAAGGAACTCAGCACAGGAGAGTAAGAGGAACAAAACTGGAGGACATAAAGCTGAGTGAAATAAGTCAGTCACAAAAGGACAAATATTGTATGCGACCTCTACTGTATAACTTATATAAAAGTTTTATGCACAAAAAGAAACAATCTTTATTGGTTACCAGGGATGGGAGGAGTGGAGGGGGGGAGCTAAATAGATAAGTGGTAACTTTGGTGAAGGGTTAGACAGTACGTGTTACTGGGGAAGCCAGCACAACTTGTACAAAGAAAGGTCATGGAAGCTCCATGGACACTTCCAAACTCCCTGAGGATCTGAACTGCTGGGCGGAGGGCTGTGGGGATCATGGTCTCAGAGAACATCTAGCTCAATTGGCATGACACAGTTTATAAAGACAATGTTCTACATTCTACCTTGGTAAGTAGCCTGTGAGCAGCCTGTGAGCAGCCTGTGAGCAGCCATCTAATACTTCACTGGTCTCACCCCTTCGGGAACAAGAGAGAATGAAGAGAACAAGATACAAGGAAGAGATTGTAATGGACCACAGCTACCACAGCCTCCACCAGACTGAGTTCAGTACAGCTAGATGGTGCCCGGCTACCACCACTGACTTCTCTGACCGGGATCACTATAGAGAGTCCTGGACAGAGCTGGAAAAGGATGTAGAACAAAATTGTAACTCACAAGAAAAAGACCAGATTTACTGGCCTGACAGACTGGAGAAACCCCAAGGGTATTGCCCCCGGACACCCTTTTAGCTCAGTGGTGAAGCCCCTCCCAAAGTTCACCATTCAGCCGGGGATTGGATAGCCTCATAAAACAAGACAGGACTAATGAGGCACAGCAGTCCAGGGACAAGGACTAGAAGGCAGGAGGGGACAAGAAAGCTGGTGATAGGGAACCCAAGGTTGAGAAGGGACATTGTTGACATGTTATGGGGTTAATCATTGTCATAGGGCAACATGTGTACTAACTTTAATGAGAAACTATTCTGCAGACTTTCAAGTAAGGTACAAAAAAGAAGAATTATCTATGTGAGATCAAATTGACAACAGCAACTCGAAAAGTTTGATGGGAAGCCTAGAGGACAGTGAGTTGAAAGTAATGGTTATGGAATAATTTGGAAAAGGATAGTGAGAATAGCAGCACAACGGGAAGAATGTGATCAATGTCACTGAATTGTGCACATAGAAATTTCTGGTGTAACTTTGGCTATGTATATTTTCACAAAAAAAAGGTCCTCAAGGTTGAGAAGAGAGTGTTGACATGTTGTGGGGTTGTTAACCAATGTCATAAAACAATATGTGTACTAACTGTTTAATGAGAAACTATTTGTTCTGTAAACCTTCATCTAAACTACAGTAAAAAAAAAATTAAAAGAAAAAAAGAGCTTTTCCTCTTCAACTGAAACTATTTGTCTTTCCTGAACTACAGATCATTTTTTAAAGCAGGAGAGAAAAAAGACAGAAAGAAAGAAAACTTGTTCCTCCTCCCACCCCAATAATTTTCAAGTAAAAGGTTGGTGCCTTATTAAAATGTACTATGTTGCTGGTGTTCAGTTGCAGATATTTTATAATTTGCAATATGATGTTCTTTTTAAACTATGGATTAAACAAATTGTATGTGTGTGGGCTTTAAGTTACCAAACAGATTTTTTGTTTTCCAATTACGTTTTTGTAGTTGATTTGTAATTGCATTGTGATCAGAGAATGTGGCTTGTGTGAAACTGAGTTTTTGAAATTGTTGAGACTGCCTATGTAACTTAATATGTGATCCATTTTTTAATACATGTTTCATGTGGTCTTGAAATGAATATTACTGTTCTATTTATTGGGTGAAAGGTACTAAAGGTTTCTATTAAATCAAGATTATTACTCATATTATTTGAAATATGTATATTCTTATTTCTTGTTTGGGTGCTTGATGTAACAGTTACTTAGAGAGATACGTTAAAAATCTCTCATTAGGGTAATAGATTTGTCAGTTTATACCCACACTTTTCAGTTTTTGCTTTATGTCTTTTGAGGCTCTGTTATTATGGTTATATAGCTTCATGATAAATTAGCTTGTTGGATGGTTCCTTTTATTAGTAACAAAATTTCCTTTGTCCTTTTTAAATGCTGTTCATTTAAAATGCCTGATATTAATATTTAACTACAGCAGGCTTCTTTTGACTAATATTTTCCTGATACGTGTGTTCTCATCTTTTAATTTTTAAACTTTTTGTGTTGTTTTGTTTTAGGTGTGTGTCTTGTAAGCAGTATATGGCAGATTTTTAACCCAATCTGAGAGTCTGTTTTTTAATAGGTGAGTTTACATTTATATTTATTCTAATTAACAATACATTTAGGTTTATTTCTTCCATCTCTTAGGTTTTCTGCCATACATTTTCTCTGCTTTTTTTTTTAATCCTATTTTCCTACTTTCTGTTGAATTGATAAGTTGCTTTGTTTCTTTTATTTGTTTATCAGTTTGGAAGGTACATATTCCATATCTGTTCTTTTAAAGGCCACTGTAAATGTTAATATACATTCTTAAATGAATTTTTTAACAAAATGTTCAGGTTTATCAGTATCTCTTTGTTCTTCCCAAATAGATGATAATGTTACCATGTTTTAATTTTCCTCTGAAACATCTCCTTGCAGCAACTATGTTAGTTTTATCTAGTATTTCAGTTTCATTTTTGTTTTTTACCACATGAAAAAATACTGTGGTGGTGGTGTTGTGCTGCTGCTGCTTCTCCTCCTCCTCCTTTTCATTCTTATTCTCTTACTATTTATACTTACTAGTTTTCACTGTTTTTTAATAATCTCTTTGCTTACCTTTGTTTATTGTATTCATCCCGTCCTCTTGAGTTCATTTTTCTTCATACTAAAATACATCCTTTTGTACTTCTTCAGAAGAGTTCGTGGACTTTCTAAGTCCTAGTATGCTTGAAAATGTCTTTATTTCACCTGGATTCTCTAAACTTCAACTTTGTGGGGGGAACAGAGAATTAAAGAGGGAGGATTCCAGCAGAGTGTCTCTTAGTTTTCTGTTTCATTCCTTTTAGTGAGCCCTGAGTTCTTCATTGAGGGAGGTGACGGAGTGACATGAGATACCAGCTGAAAAGAGAACTTAAATATACGTTTTAAGTCTTGAGTCCCCACGTTTTTTTAATACTAAGTTCCCTTTTTCCATGATGAAGCCACAAATTCTCTGAATTTTTCAGTCCAGCAGTATTTTTTTAACTTCTTTTTTCAGCATATGTTCCTAGTTCTTCCCCTCTTTTACCCCTATCTCTCTGACCCAAAAGTAAATGCTATTACATTTCTGCTGTATGTTACAGAAATTTATGTTCAAGCATTGTTTTTGACTATTGAGCATTCACTTGGTGTAATTGAAGGTCTCTCACTGAGAAGAAAGAAGTCAACAAGAAGAAGATAAAAAAAAAAATAGAAATATATTTATGGCTTTGAATTGTACTTTTCTTCAAGTAGTAAGAATTCATCAAGATTATTTCTTTTGGATGATCCCTTTAGATAATATAAATCAATTTAAAGAATATAAACAGGATGAAAACTATGCCAAGGGTAGAACCACAGGTGGTGATAATACTTCTATTTATTGAATACCTGAAATAGACTAGATACTGTGCATACATTATCACTTATTTGTACTATATTAATATTTTCAGTGTTTTGATGAGGAAACTGAGACTCCAGGAGGTAAATAAGATACCCACCTGCCATGATTAGTAGAGGACAGAGGTGGGATGTGGACTTTGGTCTCTCTCTGGCCTCTGTGTTATAGGTAACCTAAACTCTATTCTGGCCGATCCTTTGAAGGCCTTTCTCCCCTATTGGACCAGAGAGTTCCTCTTCTTTTTTCTGCTTCCTTAGTTTTTCATGGTCTCATAAGCAACAGACATCATAACCATAGTCACATTTTCACATTTAGAAACCATGGCTTGTAGAATGCATATAAAACAACTTTTAAAATAAGATTTTCTGCTTTGAGTTCTTTCTAATTTAGAAGAATAGCAGGTCCTCCGTTGCCCATATGCAATTAGAAATGATGCTCCTACCTCAGTACACTTTCCTTCTATTCATCAGAAATTTATTATGAGGTGCTCATTTGTTTTTTGTTAGAATGAGACATAAAATTTCCATCTGATAGAAAATTGTAATGAATGTACAAGTTGTCAGTGGCTAAGATATAAGTGATTCCCCCTAGGGTTATGCAGTGCCCAGTAGCCAGGTGAAGAGAAAATGTAAGAAGGTAATAATTACTTCCATAATTCTCATTCTAAATCTGTTTCAGGTTTATTCTGTTTCTGTTTCAGGAGCCACCTGTGTATGGCTAGTAAGAGGGGAGAGAGGAGGATGAGCATAGGGTGGACAGGTCTACATTTTCTCGCTATACTAAGTAGAAATAGCCTATCAAACAAGTCATTGTGTGTTCCACTGCTGCTATAGGCCTCCCTCTGTCTTGCACTTTGACCATTGTGACAGAAATGCTCTTGGCCTCTTAACAAAGTCACAGAATGTAAGTGTCAACAAGCAAGACACCCATATATGAAACAGAATTGGACAGTGTTTGCTAAAACATTCCATTGCATTTTGTGACCTAAAATATAGAAAGCGTTAGAGATAGGGAAGATTATTGTGGCCAGAAGTAATCAGGGCAGATAAGATATGGCCAGACTGGGAGTGTAAGGGATCTTGAGTTCCTATCATTGTCATAAGTATTAAGAGGCAGAATAGCTGTGTGTCCAAAGACCCTAAGAATGACCCAAGGTCCTAAGAATGACCCAAGGTAGAACCCTTGGTAGACCAGCCTTTCCACACAATGACATTAATTTATATCCTCCATAGTAAATTCTGGAGACCTGGTGGCGCAGTGTTTAAGAGCTCGGCTGCTAACCTAAAGGTCGGCAGTTCGAATCCACTAGCTGCTCCTTAGAAACCCTATGGGGCAGTTCTACTCTGTCCTATAGGATTGCTATGAGTCAGAATCAACTCGATGGCAATGGGTTATGGGTTATAGTAAATTCTGGATTCCCAGGACACCCTTTCCTAAGATGATTGTGGGTGAACAGGACACTTGTCAGAGCCTCCCCAGCCCACCTTCATTGAGTTGATCTTTCTCTTACTCTGAAGTTATTTAGCACTTGATATAATTGGTACAACACTATCATGCCATGTTTACATGTTGCCTTGGGATTTTCTTCTCATCCTATCTCCTATTTCCTTTGATCCCTGTAGTGCCTGGTGTAGTCTGTGGATGTAGAAGATATCCAGTGAACACTTAGAACATGAATGTTTTAGACTGAGGCCTATAATTATGGTACTAGGAAAGCCCTGTGAGATCTCAGATTGTAAACCAACTTCAGCTGTGGGTTTTGGAGCAGAGCTGAGGCCTTGGCTGTCACTCAGCCATCTGACTGCACTGTGTCAGAGAGCTGTTTTCTTGTCCTAGCTGGAGGTTCTGTGTAAAAGCAAGTATTCTAGGAGGTTCCATCCCATGATTCTGATCTGTTGTATGATTTCTGAGTAGATTGGAGTGGAAAACTCAATACTAAGGACAGGCCTTTTAATATAAGCACTTGCTATAGTGGTGCAAACAGTTTGCACTTCACTACTTACTGAAAGGTTGGCAGTTTGAACTCACCCAGTGGTGCCTCAGAAGAAAGTCCTGGTGATCTTCTTCTGTAAGGATTACAGCCAAGAAAATCCCATGGAGCTCAGTTCTACTCTGTAACACATGGGGTTGCTATGAGTTGGAATCAGCTCGATGGCAAGGTGTGGATCCAGAGTAAGCACTGAGTTCAGCCAATGATGTAAAAACGAGGCTGGGATAGAGTTTGATGCAAGTAAAGCTATTTCACAGTCTGAGCATTTATAAACTCACGAGAGGCTTATTCTGTTTGTGTCTAAAGAACTTACTTCTCTCAGATGAATGAGTCTCCACCTTCATCTTACGGCACGTCAGCAGGTCACCCTGAATAGCTGTAAGCAGAGTTTTCCTTACTCTAGATTTGCTAGAATCTATATCAGATCACACAGCTGAGAAGGATCCTTGCTGCTTGTGTATCTCGCTGAATTAAATCTTCTACTTCATTTTCATGGTGCTAAAGAAGAGATGCAGTTTTGTGTTTGTTTTTAATTGTAGATTTATCTTTTAATCTGCCATTTCCCATCTTGGGAAAAAATCTTGTTTCATAATAAACACAGTTATTATGTGTTTGTTAACACAGATATTCCATGTATACCAACAGAATAAGTATTAGTTTGCCCAAAATAATCACAGATATGTTTTTAACCTTAGTTTTGATGTAAAAAGCTAAAACGCATTTTTGGTTGTTGGTATTCATCCACGTACAGCCAGATGAAATTAAGTAGATTCAGGTCAGGATTTTGGGTTTTGCTTTGGAGCATTTTTTCTCCTACTCTCTTGCCCCTAAATAGATAATAGGATATCATTTAAAAATCCATTTTGGGCAGTACAGTACTAACCAGATTTTTGATAAATCTTCCAGAACCTAAGGCTTGATTGCTTCCAAGCTGCTGTGGATGGCCCTGGCTCTCTGGACCACTCTTCCAAGTAGGATGTCACTGAGATCCCTCAAATGGAGCCTCCTGCTGCTGTCAGTCTTGAGTTTCCTCGTGATGTGGTACCTCAGCATTCCCCACTACAATGTGATAGAACGTGTAAACTCCATGTACTTCTATGAGTATGAGCCGATTTACAGACAAGACTTTCACTTCACCCTTCGAGAGCATTCAAACTGCTCTCATCAAAACCCATTTCTTGTCATCCTGGTCACCTCACACCCCTCAGATGTGAAAGCCAGACAGGCCATTAGAGTTACTTGGGGTGAAAAAAAGTCTTGGTGGGGATATGAGGTTCTTACATTTTTTTTATTAGGCCAGCAGGCTGAAAGGGAAGACAAAATGTTAGCATTGTCCTTAGACGATGAACATGTTCTTTATGGTGACATAATACGCCAGGATTTTTTAGACACATACAACAACCTGACCTTGAAAACAATTATGGCATTCAGATGGGTAACTGAGTTTTGCCCCAATGCCAAGTATATCATGAAGACAGACACTGATGTTTTCATCAATACTGGCAATTTAGTGAAGTATCTTTTAAATTTAAACCACTCAGAGAAGTTCTTCACAGGTTATCCTCTAATTGATAATTATTCATATAGAGGATTTTACCAAAAAGCCCATATTTCATACCAGGAGTATCCTTTCAAGGTGTTTCCTCCCTACTGCAGCGGGTTGGGTTATATAATATCCAGAGATTTGGTGCCAAGGATTTATGAAATGATGAGTCATATAAAGCCCATCAAGTTTGAAGATGTTTATGTTGGGATCTGTTTGAATTTATTAAAAGTGGACATTCACATTCCAGAAGACACCAACCTTTTCTTTTTATATAGAATCCATTTGGATGTCTGTCAGCTCAGACGTGTGATTGCAGCCCATGGCTTTTCTTCCAAGGAAATTATTACATTTTGGCAAGTTATGCTAAGGAACACCACATGCCATTATTAATTTTATGTTCTACCAAAAGCCTAGAGAAGGGCAGGGTATCTTTGGAAAGTGTGAAAGTTGTACTGTGAATCTCCGATGGAAAACCCATGGAAAGGTCTGTGTGCTGGCTTATATTGGACAGAAACTCATCAAGAACTCATAGAGACTGGAGGGTAATACTTCAGTTGTGATTTATCTGGACAAAAGTCAGGCCCTTTTAAGATGATGTTCAGAGTAATTAAACATCTTATAAAGGAGCAAGAGGGTTTTGCTAACAAACAGGACCAAACAATTTAAACATGTCATTCTATATACTAGAACCTCTTAAAAGGGTCTCACTGAATTATAAGTCGTTCATTCATAACAACCGAGAAATGGGGAGTTCTATTTATTGAACAGTCTAGTCAGTTAAGGGTTTTGTGCATATCTAACATGAATTACGGATTAAAAAAAATATATAGTTCTGTGTGAAAAACTTAAAGTTATATTGAACAAAATTTCATCTGTCTTTGGTCATTCAGAAGATACTTCAAGATGTTGCAGTATTTCAGAGCTATCAATTATTATTTTAAATTACTTAAAATTTTCTAGGTGTTTGAGTGTTATGGTTGTTTCAATACTGTGTATACAGAGTAGTGAATCACCTTTCACATTTGAATTATTTTTTCCAGTTACTTCACTGATCAGTCTTTTATTGATAGCCCCATCAATGTGAAGTCATTGATCATTATTGAGTATAAGTAACTGTCTTGGACTTTGATAAATATTTTACTGTGGTAATATAGAGAAGAGTTAAAGAAATAATTTCTAAATTATTGTCTTGTTTTTAAAAATATAATCCCCAGTGTTTTTAGATGTCAATTTATCTATCTCATTTTCCACTTGGAAGTCAGGAATAATATAGACTGTCAGGCAGAATGTTTTCATTTGGAAAGGACTTTGAAGGCAAAAAGAAGAGAGAACCTGTTGGCCACAGTATTATGGAATAGTGTCATATGCCAGTATTTAGAGCTAGAAAGAGAAGAGTCACATTATTAATCCATTCCATATCTTTTCTCCTTAAAAACAAGTTTATGAATAAAAGAAAAAGAAACTACTGCTGCTATTTTTATTTGTTTCACATCAAGAGGAAAGCTGTAATATGTGGTCTGAAATCAAATCTGATTTAAATTTCATGTGGAAGCACACTTCTTAGTAGAAATGGTGATGTATCTTTTTTTAGATATTTATCTTTTTTTAGGTGGCGTATCTTTTGTTAGGCTACTTTGCCAAGCAAGCTTTTGCTAAATTAGGTACTCAGTATAGCATGAGATGCCAGGAGGCCTTCATCCTATGGTATTTTCTAAAGCTAGCTGCTTGGCTGTTCAGCATCTGGCAATGGTAAGAAGCAGACTCAGGTTCAGGTAGTCCTGGGTGAAGTAGTCTGGACTGGGAATGCCGTGTATGCCTGAGGGCCATTCTTGGAAAAATAGTACAGAGAGATTTCTGCTTCTAGTAGGTCAAAGAAGAGCATTCCTTGCCCCCATATTCCTGGGGTTGTGCCAGTTCCTATTGCTATGGAACAAAGGATTTTTTTTCTGAATTACATGATGGCAAAAGATCAAATCCTTCGGCAGATGATAAAAACATGGAAGTACGTGGTCAGCTCTTGTAATACTCAAATATTTATAATTCTCCCAAAAGAAAAACCTAATTTCAACGAAAATTATGACAGTGTGTAATTCTCTATAACAAGGCTATTTCCACTTCTCAGGGCTCAGATTAACATCAACTAAATGAAATATTCTATAGAATCAATCTATGCATTTGTTAATCCCCATCCATATAGAAGTCACTTCCTTGAAGACAACATGGTGAGAGGGCAGGGCCAAGATGGCGGAGTAGTCAGATGCTTCCTGTGGTCCCTTTTACAACAGACACCCCAAAAAACAAGTGAATAGATTATATATGATAATCTAGGAGCCCTGAACATCAAAGGCAAAGTTGAGGAATCAGACGGAGTGGCAGGGGGAGGGAGAGAAAGTTCGGAAGCAGGGAGGAGTTGCTAGACCTGACCTGAAGGGAGCCAGCACCCTTCAGGTCGGATAGACTGGTGTGTGCAGTGAGGCAAGCAGTGGCGCTTGGGAGGCGTTTTCCACATCAGGAGAGACCGAGAGGCAGAGAGTCTACTTGGGCCTCCAGAACCAATGAAGAGTGGCACTCAATTGGCAAAAGATAAGTACATGCATCTGACCTACCATACAGATCAGAAATACCCTCTCTGGGAAAAACCTGTCTCCCATTTACCTGCCCCCTCCCTGCTCTGCACTGGGTTCTGGGCCACCTTCAGCCATCCTAGTCCCCTAGGCTGAAAGTGGGACCCGTCACGCACCCTGAGCCATTCTCTGGGCCTTGGAGAGGGAACAAATGAACAAACAGGAAAAAATAATCCACCGGCTCTACCCTAAGCTGGGAACTCAGGGAAGGTACAGCTCCTTTACCGAGGCACAGGCATAAGGGGTCCACGGACTTTGATTGCATTTTACCTCTGCATAGACCTCTGTGGGCCCCTTTCAGCAGCATAGGCCCTCATTACCACAGTACAACAGGGTATATACCTGAAGCCTAACTTCAGCTGTATCAGCAATATGGTGAAGTGGCAGGTTCATGACATTTGAGACTGTTCTCCCCATTAAGCAGTGTCCTCACCTACCCACATCCGGGGCCTGAGGACTGGTAGCTCCACCCATACCACCTAGCCACCCGCAATGGGTCCAAGAATAAGTGGTGCCTCCCAGTCTTTAACAGCCAATAGCATTGGGTGCTCGTAGTCTGGCTGCAAAGCATACCCACCTACACGCTCTAGGGAACAGCAACACACTTTCTCCAGATACTCAGGCAGCTGTCAGCCCCCTGCCTTCCTCAGCATGTGACCCCCTACTGCAGCCAGATACCTGTGCCTACACCAGTCACCCCTGCCTGTCTAGGACTGTAGGTGAGAGCCTGCACCACACACTTGGTGACTGACTACTTGGACACCTGACCTGAATCCACACAAGAAAAGTAAACAGACTCCTGGGCTCACATACCTAGTACCAGATCTAACCACCTGGTGACAGGACGTTAAAGCTTGAAAGGCACCAGTAATCAAACTAGCTCACACAAGCAGCCTATTTGAGCATATCAAAACAAAACAAAAAGCTAGGACATAGTAAGCAAACAAAATAAATATAACTTATCAATGGCTTGGAGACAATAGTCAATATCAAATCACATAAAGAGGCATACCATGATGGCTTCAGCAAGCTCCCGAAACAATCAAGAAATTTTCCGGAGGAAGAAAACTTACTGGAATTACCAGAGGTAGAATACAAAAGATTAATATACAGAACTGTTCAAGAAATCAGGACGGAGATCAGGCAAAACACAGACCAAGCCAAAGAACATACAGACAAAGCAATAGAGGAACTTAAGAAGATTAGAAAAGAGCCTAATGACAAATTTAACAGGATGCGAGAATCCATTTAGAGATAGCAATCAGAAATCCAGAAGATTAACAATAAGATTTCAGAACCAGACAACTCAATAGAAAGTCATAGGAGCAGAATAGAGGCAATGGAAGTCAGAATTAGTGAGACTGAAGATAAAGCACTTGACACCAACATATTTGAGGAAAAATCAGATACATGGATTTTAAAAAACGAAGAAACCCTAAGAATTAAGTGGGACTCTATCAAGAGGAATAATCTACGAGTGATTGGAGCAGCAGAATGGGGGGAATAAAAGAAAATACAGAGAGAATTGTTGAAGAATTGTTGGCAGAAGACTTCCCTGATAGTGTGAAAGATGAGAAGATACTTATCCAAGATCCTCATCAAACCCCACATAAGGTAGATCCCAAAAGAAAGTTACCAAGACATAATCAAACTTGCCAAAACCAAAGATAAAGAGAGAATTTTAAGAGTAGCTAGAAATAAATGAAAAGTCATCTACAAAGGAGAGTCAATAAGAATAAGCTCAGACTACGCAGCAGAAACCATGAAGGCAAGAAGGCAATAGGATGACATACATAAAGCTTTGAAGGAAAAAAATTGCCAGTCAAGAATTATATATCCAGCAAAACTGTCTCTCAAACATGGTAGTGAAATTAGGGCATTTCCAGATGAACAGAAGTTTAAGGAATTTGCAAAAACCAAAGGAAAATTACAAGAAATACTAAGGGAGTCCTCCAGTTAGAAAATCAGTAACATCAGATAACAACCCAAGACTAGAACACAGGACAGAACAACCAGATATCAACCCAGACAGGGAAGTCACAAAAATAAATCAAAGCTAAAACACTGAAAATAGGGAAACAGAGATGTCAATATGTAAAAGATGACAACATTAAAACAAAAAAGAGGGACTAAAAAATGTCATAGATCTTTCGTATGGAGAGGAAGTCAAGGTGATATAAAGAAATAAAAGAGTAGTTTAAAGTTAGAAAAATAGGGGTAAATATTAAAGTAACCACAAAGGAGACTTAACAATCCTACACATCAAAATAAAAAACAAGAAAAACAAATGACTCAGCAAATACAAAATCAACAACAATGAAAAAGATGAAAAGAAAATTCATAAAGAAAAATGACTCTGCACAGAAAATTAAGTGGAACAAAGAAACTGTCAGCAACACACAAGGACATCAAAATGACAGCACTAAACTCATACCTATCAATAATTACGCTGAATGTAAATGGAATAAATGCAGCAATAAGAGATAGAGAGTGGCAGAATGGATGAAAAAACACAATCCATCTATATGCTGCCTACACAAACTAAAACTCAAAAGGATGGAAAAAAATATATCAAGGAGAAAACACTCAAAACAGAGCAGGAATAGCAATATTAATCTCTGACAAAATAGACTTTAAAGTAAAATCCACCACAAAGGATAAGGAAGGACACTGTATAATGATGAAAGGGTCAATACACCAGGAGGACATAACTATAATAAATATTTATACACCCAATGACAGAGCTCCACAATAATAGTAGGAAACTACAACACACCACTTTTGGTGAAGGACAGAACATCCAGAAAGAAGCTAAATAAAGACACAGAAGATCTAAATGCCACAATTAACCAACTTGATCTCATAGACATATACAGAACACTCCACCCAACAGCAGCCAAGTATACTTTCTTTTCCAACATACATGGAACATTCTCCAGAGAAGACCACATATTAGGCCATAAAGCAAACCTGAACAGAATCCAAAGCATCAAAATATTACATAGCATCTTTTCTGACGATAAAAAGCCATAAAAATAGAAATCAGTAACAGAAAATCAAGTGAAAAAAATGAAACACATGGAAACTGAGCAACATCTTGCTCAAAAATTACTGGGTTATAGAAGAAATTAAGGATGGAATAAAGAAATTCACAGAGTCAAAAGAGAATGAAAACACATCCTATCAGAAGCTTTGGGACACAGCAAAAGCAGTAAATGTACACATCCAAAAAGAAGAAAGGGCCAAAATCAAAACGTTAACCATGCAACTCGAACAAGTAGAAAGAGAGCAGCAAAAGAAGCCTTCAGGTGCCAGAATAAAGGAAATGATACGAGTTAGAGCAGAATTAAATGAAATAGAGAATAGAAAAACAATTGAAAGAGTTAACAAGACCTAAAGTTGGTTCTTTGAAAAGATCAACAAAATTGATAAACCATTGGCCAAACTGACAAAAGAAAAACTTGAGAGGAAGCAAATAACCCATATAAAAAATGAGATGGGCCGTATCACAATAGACCCAACTGAAATTAAAAGAATCATAACAAAATGCTATGAAAAATTGTACTCTAACAAATTTGAAAACCTAGAGGAAATGGACAAATTTCTAGACACTCAACTACCTACTTAAACTAACAGAAACAGAGGCAGAACAACTAAATAAACCCATAACAAAAGAAGATACTGAAGAGGTAATTAAAAAAACTCCCAACAAAAAAAAGCCCTGGCCCGGATGGTTTCACTGGAGAATTCTACCAAACTTTCAGAGAAGAGTTAACACCACACTACTGAAGGTATTTCAGAGCATAGAAAAGGATGGAATACTCCCAATCCCATTCTATGAAGTCAGCATAACACTGAACCCAAACCAGGTAAAGACACCACAAAAAA